TATATATAAGGGTAAGCAGGCCTGTCTTGCCTACCCTCAAGGAGCTGCCACTGAAAACTAGTAGTTATCGCGAAAGGGGCGACAGCAGAACGTCAAGTATTTATGAATTTGATTCATAACAATTTGTGCGGAACTAATTTTGGAGGGGACTTTATGTAAATTTTGTGAAAGCGAACGAGGATGTAATTGTAAATTTTATGCTTAAGTGTTTGCAATGTTTAATTTGAAGGTTCTTTGTTTAAATACAGAGTAATTGAGTCTAAGATATCGCTTGTAATTTTCATTTGTGACCCCATTCATTAGAAGAAGTAACAAAATAATTAGTTATCAAATTTAGAAGATTGATCTTTGTTAAAAGTGTGATTTAGCTCGTAATAAACTGAGTATGTTATACTTTTCTTTTTTGTTTGAGAATTTAATAAATATCCTGTTACATTAAATATTCGTGTAACCTTTTCTTTACATGTGGTCTCCATCATTGACTTCTCCCAACCAAGACCACTGTGCCTTCAGATTCCCACACAATACTCTAATTTATGTGGCTGAGTACCGTCAATATACAATATATATATATATATATANNTATATATATATATATATATATATATATATATATATATAGACTTGGTGATTTTCACCATACATCTCATCTGTTCCTGTAACCGAACCCTGTGCGAACACTGGTAAATAAATATTCCCTAGAACAAGCATCGAGACGGTAAAAAACAGCGAAGTCTGCTGGCGAAACTCGACAGGTCATTTGGAGGATCTGCGAGGCACGCCAGGTCAACCGGAGAGGGAGAGTGAAGTGTGCTCGCCCCTACGTGGTTCACGGAGACTGCATACCGAGCTAGGAATGCTTGCCAGCGTACAAAATCAACTTTCAATGCGTCCAATGCACGTATTACTTAGCTTCTCTACACGATCACTACGAAACTAATCGCGGCTCCAGACTCTCAAACAAGGCCATCTCGTATCGTCTTATGTGAAAAATCGGATTTCGGGACATTACAACTTCTCCGCCGGCCAGGACGTGGTCGATCTACCGACTTTTGGAAGCAGTTGGCGGTTTGTTTTAAAAAGTTTCATCCGAAGTGAATTCTTGTTTCTTGTGAGAGAGAGAATTTGCGAATTTTTTGGCCAAATGAATACGAAAGCGCGACGTTTGATTTGTGTGATCTTTTCTTCTTAAATAACCTCAAAGAATTGCCAAAGTGAGTCAGCTCCAAGCATTCAAATTAAAATTTGATCGCCTATGTGCCAGCAGCGATTTTAAATAGCATTCTTCAATGTTTGGTGGTTACTTTACATGAAGCCCCTGGGACATTTGCAAAATTTTCTCAAAAAGGCTCCAAATTTTTCCTTTAAACTTCTTATAAGAATAGAGTAAAATAAATTTATAAAAGTGACATATACTCGATATTCAGTGTTTACTCGGAAATTCTAAAAATTGCAAAATATTTAATACAAAATTGAAGATAAACATTTTATCTTCAAATGAAAGGCATTCCATAATTAGTTTTTCATTCAGGTACATTTCTTCTTTTTCGAACTTACAAACATAAGACTAGAAAATATTGTGGCAAATTTTTGGGAAAGTATAACGATGAATTTTTCACACAGAAACTCTTATTGCTGGGACCTGGAAACGAAAAAGTGGATAAATCCAGTTGCTAAATATAGGGGGAAATCCTCTATAACATGGTCTAGCGAGAATCCATGCTTTGTGCGTGTTTAATACCGAAATATTGATCGATATCTGGCTGATGACACTCGAAAATTTTCAAAAAATGACACAACATTTTTTAATTAAATTTTATTATTGGATACCGCGAAGGACATTTAAAAGAATGATGTAGGTCTTATTTTCGTTACAATCTCTGATTTGTCGATTTTACTTAGAGAAGTGAGTAATGTTAATTTTTAGGGGTTCTAGTACAGGGTGTGATCTAAATCTGACTATCGAAATGAATACAGATAAGCATCACAGGCGCTTTGTTTGAATTGGACGTTTTCAACTACTAGCTGAGGTGTCAATGGCTCAGAAATGGCAATATTTTAATATAACGTAGCTGCTTTCAATAATGCGAGAACGTACGTGCTCTTGTAGCATAATATGTGCAATTTTTAAAAAAATATCCAAAATAAGAAATTATGAATAAAGGTTCCAATTTTTTATTCTTTAAACTTTTAGTTAGGATAGTGCTTAATGTTCTGCATGTGATGGCATTAACCTCATTTTCTCTATTTTCATTTTACAAAAAATTACAAAAATGTTTTGAGTTGTCTCTCACGGCGTTAATATTTACATTAGTTCACATATTTACATTTATGTGTGCATACGCTTTAAATGATACCTTATAAAGTTTGTTGAAAACAAAGAATTTCTGTGAAAATGATCTCAAATTTTCAGAAACGCTCAAAAGTATTTCCTCAAAAATGGCTGCAATATTTTTTATTTATACTATTTCTATGGAAAATGCTAAGTGGGATAATATAAAAAATTTAAGGTATTTCCTTGTTTTTTTACAAACAATAAACAATTTTTTTTTAAATATCTCTCACGCCGTTAATATACAAACTTCCGGAGATTTGTGTACATTATTACATTTGTAGGTGAAAGTTTTTCAGATGATTTCGAATGAAACTTTCCGAAATCTGAAAAGTTTTCTGTTAAAAAGAGCTTCAAATTTCGCATTTACACTAACGCCATTTTCTCAAAAACGGCTCCAAATTTTTCAACGAAAATTTCCATGTAAAACAAGAGAAAATTTCAGAAAAATGTTTTCATTACAAATTTCAAAGAAATTCTGAAATTTTAAAAGTATTTTTAAATTTAAAAAAATTATTTCATTTTAATTTTAAAAAAACTGGACTTTCGGAGGCGAAAGCTGGCGAAAGGTTGGAGGAAAGATTGAAAATGTAGCTCGGGTTAAAGAAATTAGACAATAAACTTGTACGAGAAAGTCTGGGTCATTGTAGCAACACTAGTTAACGTTTTATAACTAATTTTTTTGTATTCCAGAATTATAAAATAACCTTTTCTGTTGCAAGAAATGGTTCATAATCGGGCATTTTACGGCATAAATGATGGCGTATTAGATTTTATGTCGCGAATGATTGCGTCATCACACATTCAGCCAATCGTAGCGAGAGAATCGGGGAGAGGTAGAGGTAAACGGAACAGCCGACCACCGTTCACTCGCATGATGCCAAGTCCCCGAGTCGTCACCGGGAAGTTGTTTCGCAAAATTTGATTCTCTTAGAAATGTATAATATAAAAAAATATAGTATGTAACTCGTTTATAATGTTGCTTTATAAACTAATTGCATAAACTACTATTAGCCGTAAACCGTCAGCAGACGGACACTTATTCTATCCTGTCGCCTAGAACTGTATTAAAACTTGTTACAATGATTGTCATTTCCTTCCTCAAATTCTTCATATGACGCAATCTCATAAAAATTTATAGTTTTTATTATATTTATAATTCAGACACGTCCCAAATAATTAATGTGTTTCATTTGTATTTCGAGAAGAATGTTTCGTTGTTTGAAAAGATCAGACCAAAGTCTCAGAGTTTCGGCAAAACAATTTTCTGAGGGAAAATGTTTATGTTCGTACATGTTAACAATATTTTGTCAGTGGCACCAAGTTTACACAAAACCATATTTTTTCAAGGAAAATGCACAAATTAACACTGAAGTGCCCAATACAACCAAGACAGACTCGCCTTCGTCGTAGAACGGTTCTATGCGTCATTCTGGTTTCCTGGAAGTTCGCCTTGGGGTGTGCGTCCACATGGAAGCTTCGGGAGGTTTATCAGGACGCCTCGATAAGCAACTTTGATAGGGAATCGATAAAAGGAGCTAGAGAGAGCTCCGAACTTTGGGATGGCGAGCCTACTCGTCAGTGTCGTGGCGGCCTTGTAACCTGCATCCCCCCACAGTGTAATAAGTATCTTAAACTGTGACCGCCCGGTCTGCAGCGCGCGGTGGTGGCCAAGAGTGAGCGAGAAGAGCCGTTGTCTCTGATTGCGCGTTCGCCGCTCGCGCGCGACGCCGCGGCGACAGCTCCCCGCCAGTAGCGACCACTCTCGCCCGCCAGTAGCGAACGATGCTCCGCCGAAGTAGCCAGCCCTCCACATGGGGCTACCTCGCGCCGCTCCAAGATGGACTTCCGTCCTTCGGTGAGTGCACTAGCGTCAGCACACACTGCGTTACTTTCTTTTCGATCAAGAAGTATATTCTTATTACTATCGCGCGCTTAAGAAGGAACTTCTTTAGAAGAGAAAGTTATGTGATGCTGCGCGAAAAAACTGCGAATGTTTGGAAGAAATACTCTTATTACACGGCCCTGGTAACGAAAAAGTGAAAACACCAGTTTGTAAGTTTAGGAAACAATCCTCTTACACGTGGTGTAGCCAGAATCCCTGCTATGGGGGTCTTTGATATCAAAAATCGATTGACGGCAAAACGTCTTTCTGTCCGTCCATCTGTGCACAACGCTAGCGCATAACCCGTTGAGCCGATTTTTTTCAAAATTGATATCCCCAAAACGATGTGGCTGATGTTATGACCTCTTGAATTTAAAGTCTATATTGTAATTTTGGGGGTACTTTACATGAAGCCTCTTGGGACATTTTCAAAATTAAAAAGAAATGACGTCATCTATTTTGATTAAATTTTGTTGTTGGGTACGGATTTTTTGAAAATTGCAAAAATGCAAAATGTTTTCGGCGTCTTCATACAACTAAAATCTTTATCCCTTCGCTTCTTGATTACTTTGTTATTATGTATTTAATAATTACTATTATATATTTTGGGATACATTTGCCTATGTTATCAGTATCGTATTATTAATTATTTTACTTTCTCGCATTTCGCTTATTTTTCGCACCAATATTCTAAGATTTCAAATGAGCTTTACAAAAAAATAATTCGAAGTGAAATTGTGGTGTGAATATGATTACATAACAATTACTAATGGCGAGAAAGTACGTGCTGTTTTAACACCACTAGTTATTAGAGAATATTGAGAAAAAATATCACAATTTAGTAGAGTGATAAAATGTAACCAGTTTTGATTCAATTGTATTTTACTGTCCTTTCTGTATGTACAATTTATCAGACTGTGTGATCTCGTTAACAATGGATCTCGCTTTCTATAATATGCAGTATTGCCAAACTGCTTTGACACTTCTAAATCGAGACGGCTAAGTGTAAGTATGACTAGTACGTACGTGGTTTTTAGAAACAAAGTTGCTAATCAATCTCCAATGACAATTCATGCCAGTTCCTCCGAAACCGTTATATTGAATTGCATGAGGAACATTTTATGACTGTTCTTTAAATAAAATGTAATACTCATTGAATATTTAGCGAATTTTGATGTCATAATAATTTGTCGAAGTGAGCATACTGAACCGTAAAATATGATATATTTACGTCATCCATAAAAATATGATTGTCGCAGACCCTTACTGCGACTAAAATTTGGCAGATATTATTTTCCAGACAATTATATTATAGTTCAGAGTTGTGCATGTGGCAACCCGCGGTGCTATTTATTGTGGCCCGCGAAAGGTTATCAATGATAAGGGGAAGTCTCCTTCATCCAGGTCGGGCACGTACATTGTCTAGCGCACGCACTCTTCTGTGGCCAACACTCCCTTTAATGTAAAAACAGGTTGTTTAGATTTGTGAAAGTTGTTTTCTGGTAAATTCAGAAATTCAAAATGATTCCAATGAGATTCTCTGTGTTTTTCTTGGTTCGACCTGATATCACGCATAGTTCCACTCCCGTTCCAGAGGAGCCGGGCAAACCGAGATCAACGAAACGGGGAAGTGGGATGTGGATCGCCCGAGCAATGAAAATATGGCCCGTAGCCATATAAAAATCTTTAGTTGTTGCCCTTGGCACCTTGTAAGTTCGTCATCCGTATTCTAGTTGGGCAAAAATAATTTTCGGATTAGATTAATGTTTGTCTTTATTTTCTTGACTATCAACATTTAATATTTCTAAAATAGATCGAGCAAATTATACAGACTGAAAATTGAATGAATCAATACACTTTTGAAGTTAGGCAAGGGACTATGGCTGCCAGGTGTCCAATATTTGAACGGACAATCCGCCTCTTTCACATTATGTTCACTTTTTTCACGAAAGAGTGGATATTTTATATTCAAAACCTTTTGAAGAAATGGTACGTAATCTAAAGATGTACAATCGAAGAGAATAGGAGATGTATTTTTTTCATAAGTTATGAAGAAATGAGACAAAGATACAAAATTCATTGAACTCGAATCTCCGAAATAAATATTAATCATGCTCAATTGTATCTCAAGACAGTTAATAAAAGTACGTAAAATTATTTACACACTATTTTTCTTAACTCGCATTTTCCTAATATTTTTATACACTTTTTTGTAGTTGGATAGGTACGTTTTGGAACATTCAGTTATGTATCCCAATCCCGTTAAAGCGGTCGAAAGCTTCTTTTAAACTGGATACCTCTAATATTGTATTTTATTTCACTAGGATCTGATGAGTTCCATAAGGTTATCTGAAACCTTATTTCCGATCAGGAAAATGAACTCGCAAAGGACGCTGAAACAATAATTTCAGAATATTTATCTTTAACACACTTCATGTTAATAATGCAATTCACCCTACTGAAGCTGGAAAGCAAGAAAATTCTTGCATGTGATCTTCACATTATCATGTGGAAGCTGGGTGCTTCTTTGTGAAACAAATACGATGAGCAGTGTTTTGGAATGAAAGTTATATTTGCCTTATGTGAAAAACATTTGCCTCATAATGCCGTTCAAGAAAGAAGCCATCAACGGGCATCAAAGAGCCATTGCATAGTACCTAGAAAAGTGGTATAATTTCACTTATTCAGTCTAAGCTGTTGCGCTGTTGTTTCAATCTCATTGATTACAATAATCTTCCAACTTTGGAAAAAATGACGAACATCTGGTTATTATCTCCATGGCGAGAACTTCCACCCAACACTCTTCAATGAAATGTCTGCCTAGATGTTTATATTAATCTATAAGGCAATTCATCCCTTGAAAAGTGGACGTATTATTTCATGAGAGAGCCAGCTCCGAGAATACTCAAACTATTCCTGTATAATGCATCAATTCCGGTATCAAATGCAAACTAACGAATTTTCATGGGAAATTTGTGAACTGACGAACATAACAGACTGCTTGTACCATCAGTCCGAAGTGAACGCTGAATACTTTTTTTAATATTTCTCAACGTCGTACTGAAATTGAATTATTGAAAAATACGATAGCATAGAAGACGTAATCAAATATTGTTCATATTATTATAATATATCTTCACTATTTTTGGAGGCAGACATGGTAACCCTTCAAGGGACAGATAAGTGAATGCCGATCTGACAATGGACACAGATATCGGAAGTGATCATTTCTTCTGAAGTCGAATTTTAGTCTTAATACGACATGACAGCAAATGGTATGCAGACGACTGAAACATAAATTTGGCTGCATGTGGTTCCTCTTGAATGGGACATGCCTTATTTACAATAAAGTCGTCGACAAGAAGAACCTCCGAATTCGAAAATTGCATCAACTGCTCTGGGCCTCATTTGTGTGTCATCACGCGTACTATCGGTCCTTTGTTCTGTACAATCAACAGGAACTGGAGAATGACACGTGATTGTTTGAGTTTAAAAAAAGTGATGGCCTTCAGAAACAGTGCGAAAAATGCAAATAATGTTTACGAGAAACTAACATTGAACGTCATTGTTATTGTAATGCATTTATGCGATACTTAATTTTTTACATTCTTATAACCGTGAAGTTCCTACAACGCAATCTTTTACCCTCGAAACTGACAAAAGCAAATGCATAATACGAAATAACTAATATGCGAATTTACAGACTCGTATACTGATTTTTTTACTGAAACATTAGTTTCAGAAGTGTGCTTTGTTCTAAGGCTCTCCGTTTTGAACGGACGATATGAGAGTGCGTAATTTGCTGATAAGGGAATGTTTGCATTGACACACGTCATATCATTCGCGGAAACATGCGGTTCAGTTTTCTTTCTCGGGATGTTACAAAGAGTTTTCCGCGTGTTAATGAATTAATACAATGTTTTGTTTGTATGCTTTAATTGCATCACTTGGTGAAACATTGTTCACTATCACAATATGCGTTTATAGTATTTATTACGGAGTGTTTCATTCTGCTTGATATATTGTTATCGCATATATAAATATGAAGTCAATTTAAAAAGCTGGCTAATATACGGTATAATATTATTGGACCAGTTCAAATTTACTGCTCATGTTTTGTCAGTTGTTTTTTTTATTCTATATTTTTTCATAAAGTACTAGTATGAATTGTGACCTCTTCATTTCTTTAGAGAAAGATCAGAATTGGAGATTAACATGCTCTGGTTCATATTGTTTTATGACATTTGACTAAGCGATATAAAGCTCTAAGAAGAAGACCCTTGGTTCCACACTTGCGTTTTATTTGGTTCAGAGTAAACTAAAATGGAAAGTGACATGGAAATTGTAACTATTTATATCACCTTAAATTTTCTCAAACAGGAAAAGTACCATTGACGATGTTTCGAATTGCACGTGGGTTCTATACTTGACTAGGATATCTGACAAGGCGCGAAAAGGTTTTGCTGCACAAATAGTAATTTCGTGAGACCTTGAGAAGTGACACTTCGTTCACTGATTTCGGCTTACGCTACTCAGACGAAGAAGCCACTTCGTTGACCGGGAGACCTACATAACGTAAAATACGGGAAGTGTTGTGCGTCACAGTGTCACACGGGAGCTGTCATTACGAAATCATTCAGAAATAACAGCTCGGGGTGCCAAATTTTCTTTGTGTCAGACATCTTTCAATGACGCAGAACTCATTATTTCCTCACTGCGAAGGATATTCATTGGATCTTTCTACGAAGGAGTTGTACTTTCATGTGTTTACAATCATTTACATTCACATCATTAGAATATTCAGTGAATCAGTACAGGTAAAATGGTTTTCTTGGTATGCAGACTTGCTGCTGGATTTTAGATAGTTTCACGGAGGCGATTTTAGATAGTTTCATTCATAGTAGAATTCAGTCTTCTCAGCGTGATACGACAATCACTATTGCTCGTAAGAAAATTATATCTAGCAATTATTA